AAATCACAAATTGGTATAAGTTGGAATTCATGGACTGGCCAGTGAATCGGGTCCCAGTGGCTGAATAGTACACGAGCTTGTATTTTAAACGGAAAGTCCTGGGTTGAAACCCCAATGGGTGTGTACTGCCAATGAATCCCAAACTAGGATGAGACAGCTGGCTGTCCAGTACTCCATGGGGGTTTTCAATTGTTCTCTAACTGAATTCAATACGTGATCAGTTCGTTAAAACAGAACTTATCTCTTTACAAACCAAATATAGAATATTAATCTAAATGCCGCATTTTAATTATTGTCCCTCTAATCAGAACATCATTACTCACTGCGGAATGCAGGTACTTCCAGATGGCGAATCCTAAATAGGACGAAGTGCGCATCCTGGATTCCACTGCTAGTCACCATCCACCAATTAACCTCTATTTACATGCCTAAACATCGTCGAAGCATCTGCACAAGAAGCCGACATGTCAACCTGAGACTGAGCACTTCGGTCTAATCGATTGATGGGAAAATCTAAAAATTCAAATAAATACTTTGAAGTTACTTGGTATCACAATCTTATCTCTCACATGATAGATACACTTCGGTCATCACTTGGAACTAACCACCTACAATAGTTTACATACTAAATTTTATGCCTTATAAAAGTGTACGTTCCAAATGATGTTTTCAGTTTTTATAGATCGTGTAAACTTCAGGATCACTTTACATGAAGTGACACCGATGAATACTAAAAAATCAGAACGTAAATCTTGTTCAGTTCACAGTTATTCTTATTGGTTCGTGATTTAAGAATAAACTTGGTCACTGTGGTAGAGTATGATTCCATTATGAAGAAAATTTATTTTGATGAAGTCTCCCAGTGTTGTTATATTTATATTTATTTTTGCCTACAGCTTGATTCCACACCGTATTTTAGGTACAAGTATGGAATTTCCAGCGTGTGATATCTGTAGCCCAAATTTTGCAGGCCGTTCATTGTTATCATTTAGTTGTGCTGCAGCCGGGATCGAACCTTGGACCGTGTGCATGGTTGGCGAGAGTCCTAACCGCTGTGCCACCAACGCTTTGAAGGAGGCATAGTCTATGCATTTTATGGAACGGAATCTCAACGGCTGCATGAAACTGGCACAGTGGTACCAAGTTAATCAAATACGAATATTACTGTGTCAGAATGAATCATTGCCATTTCACTTCTCGTAAACTAACATTTTCTTCACTGAGTGAGTTCATTTTGAGATTTCTGCTGATTAATTTAGTCTTACAAAGATAACGAGTCACCAATGACATATTAGTTCCTATGCTCTTTTCTTTGGCGAAGCCTCGATGTGATTTAGTTGATGGTAGCTGCCAATCGAATCCAGTGAAATATATGTTTCGACCAATTTATAACTCCTCAACTGAGCTTAGATGATATTTTTTTTAACGAATCCATGGTTAAACGCAGAAAATCTATCTAATCCTTACAGACTAACTCTTGAAAATTAATCTGATGCTCGCTATTGACTTGCTACAGGACAGAGTTACCTAAAGTTCTGGTGAAAAGTCGTGACCAATGAGGTTCATCCAGTTAGAAATGAGGATGGATTAACTTCTAAAGACATCGGTTGGTGGTCAAGCTAAATCACTAATTGGTAGAAGTTAGAATTCATGGGTTGGCCACTCTATTGGGCCTCAGTGGCTGCATGGTATAAGAACTTGCCTTGTGACCGGAAAGTCTTGGTTTCTAGCCGCAGTGGAAGCGTTCTGATGATAAGTTGCAAACTATTGGGACGAAACAGCCGTCCAATACCACGGGTAATGGTTTCTAGTCGTCCTCTAACTTATATCGATCCCTGGTCAAACTCTGAAAACGAATCCCCATATCACTTCACAGTTTGTTTTAGAATGATATTCAGAATGTAGTAACCCATTTACGCTCTCATTTGATAACCTGTTCACCCATGTCACTATTATCTTGCCAATATGAATCTTTTTTCATTCTTTTGGGTCTCCTATGTGAAAGTCTCAGTATCGGTGGTATCGGCTTTGTACTGGATGAGATTGCTAGTCAGACACTTGACCTTCCCTCTGCACCAAACTTATTACCGGTTAAACAAGGTTTAGAAGTGCGTCACGGTGCAGAATCGATATCAGACCACGTGAGGCTAACATTCTAACATTGAATCAAAAGACTAAGACAAAATGAAAACATAGTTATTACCAGACCGGATAAGGGACCTTGGATAGTAATTATGGATAGGCAGGACTACATCAATAAGATGAACTCCATACTAGCTGACGAAAGCAAGTTTCAGAAGCCGAAAGCGATGAAAGATCATACGGAGAAAATAGAGAGAGAAATAACAAACATATTAAAGGATTTGAAGGGTAAAGGCTATTTATTACCAAAAACTTTCGAAAAGATAAAACCTACAGGGAGCACCATCTCACGCATGTATGGTCTACCGAAAGTGCATGAATCAGGAGTGCCCCTACGCCCCATACTAGACATGTCCCTTTCACCCTATCACGAGATGCCAAAGTGGTTGGTACAGCTACTTCAACCCTTGCATGACGAGTTAGTAAAGCACAGCATCAAGGATACCTTTCAATTTGTTGATAAGATAAAAAACCTGAACGCTACTGGCAAATATATGGCATCACTTGATGTTTCATCTCTATTCACGAATGTGCCTCTAGTGGAAACAATCGATTATATCTGTGAACAGATTATAGAAAAGAAATTGTGCACTGATATTCCTATCAGTAATCTGAAACAACTACTTGTTAAATGCACAACGAATGTCCAGTTCCTATTTAATAATGGATTATACAGACAGGTTGATGGAGTAGCCCTGGGATCCCCACTGGGACCTATTTTCGCGAATATATTTCTAGCAAAACTAGAAAATAGTCCGTTGAAAAAGGAAATAGCGAAAATGGAAATGTATTGTCGTTATATGGCTGACACTTTTGTAGTGTACGATGAAGGGTTAAATAGTGATTTCATTTTGAACAACTTCAATAATGCTCACCCAGCGGTCGAGTTCACCTACGAAGGAGAATACAACGACTCTCTACACTTCCTCGACGTTCTACTAACGAGAAGAGAGGATGGTTCCATCAAAAGAACCGTATTTAGAAAGCTAGAGACCAAAGCTCAGTATACACACTTCCTTAGCTTCGTACCGATGAAATACAAACGTAATCTAATCAGGTGCTTAGCATTTAGAGCGAGGTCTATTTGTCCCGAAGAGTGCGTAGAAAAAGAACTCCAGATCACCCGAGACATTCTAAGAGAGAACGGATATCCAGAGATGTTCATCAAAGCCAACATAGGTTACAATAGTCGTAAAAATGAACTGGCAACTGTGGAGAAAAAGCCTTTGTTTTTACGTCTCCAATTCAAGGGAGATACTCCTGCGGAGATTCTATCCAAACGTTTAAACAGGGCGATCAAGAAGACTTTCTACTCTGCACGTCAGTGTCTATCCTTCACTAGCCGTCCAATGTTCACCCAGAAACTCAAATATGTCTTACCTAACCTTAGCTCTTTTTCATGTATATAACATTTCAACAGCTCCTGTGGTTCAAGTTATATATAGGGCGCACGATTAGGCAGGTTCGTCTATGGCTCCGAGAACACTTACCAGCTTGGTTCAGCTGGAGGGAAATTAAGTGCATAAAAAGCTTGATCCTTGGTCACACTTGATCAATACTAGACATCGCATCGATGTCAACACAGCCTTCAGAGTTATATACCGAATTCCGAAGTCGTTATAACGAACAGTTCGCTTACGTCGCCTACACATAGCAGAAGCTGTTGCAATAAGATTGACTAAACTGGAACTTTGTATTCAAGATGAACACGTACAGACGCTGTTCCTACCGTGGCCAAACTTGGATTGTTGATTCTTGCTCTCACCAAGAGTGCTCCTTCCCCTTAACCCTTTTGGTTTTTTTCTTTTTTACTTTGCTTATTATTATAAATATTATTATTACAGTTACTATTATTTTTCGTCATAATTTATGCCCTTTTTTCAAACATTCCCTCAATACAATCGAATTTTCATTTATACGGACTTATTATTAGTGATATTATCTGTTTTTTCAATATATGCCTCCATTTGTTTCATTATACATATTCGTTATCTCACTATGAACCTCTCATTCCAGTCTTACTATCTCCTGTTTAAGACAGACCACTTTGTACTAGCTGCCCACCTGACACCTTTTATAACCTTGAACTAACTTGTCAACTTTTCCTACCCCACATTCTACAAATCTATTATGACGACTAATCACCAGCATTGTCTCCCATTTCACAATAATTCGTAATCGATTTCTGCCTAATACGTTTGTCACACAAATACGACTATTTATTTTGACACCCCATAACTAATCTGTTATTCTACGTTAAAAATGTATCCGCCGCATAACTGGCCTTTACTGTAACGACCACAAATATTCTATTTTATAATTGTAAGAACCTGAAAAGAAAGATATGTTGAAAAGAATATTCTTCGTTCAGATTGACTTTTAACATTGAATCACCAACGCATTATTCAATCTCGCATCACTGATATTATTTCACTCACACCATATTACTACTAATAAAAACATAAGTAGTATCGAAGAGAATAAAACAATTTTCAGTTAGATAACCATTGAAAACCAATGTAGGAGTACTGGACAGCCAGCTGTTTCATCCCACTAGTTTGGGAATCATAGGCAGTACGCACCCACCACAGGAATTCGAACCAGGACCTTCCGATTAAAAGACAACCTCGAATACCATTCAGCCTCTGAGACCTGATTCGACTCTAACTCCTACCACTTCGTAATTTAGCGCGATTAGCCACCAATGTCATCGGTCGGAAATTCCTCCTTACACTTGATTGGATGGACCTCACTGGACCTCACGACTTCTCACTAGAACTCTAGGATACTTCATCCTGTAGCAAGTCCTACAGCCAGCATCAGATATGAAATGAACTGATTCACAAAACGCAAACACTCACACAGTTCGATACAAACCAGCATATATTTAATATGACTGATAAAATAAACTGACAATATGGAAGATTAGTTCAACCAGTTCATCATCGTCTTCATTTCTATGTTGTATTACGCAAAAATATGACTTATTTATCACAAAATATTATGAAAACATAATAACAAAACAGAGGAGACCGAAAGAGATACATAGAGCACTTTCAGATTATCACAGTGACAAAATAAGGTTATTTGAAGAAGCAGAAAAGTGGCAGTGCCTTATAAACACGCAGTAATTAAAAAAAAAATTAAAAATAGCTAGAGAAACGACTCAATATAGCCTCATATAAAACCAACCAAAATCTTTAAAAATATATATAGAAATTAAACTTAGGAACCGGAAATACTCTTTTGAGGCTGATGTGAAGAAATATTGGGTAGTTGGAGGGGTGTGTGTGTGTGTGGTGGGGGGAGGCTTATGAAACCTTATGAAGTAACGTGATGAATTACAATGATGAGATTGAAATTGTTCAAATTTAAGGATGGATATACCAATGGGATTGTAAAATATACGAAAGACAATGTATGTATATATTTGTATGTACACAGAATTATGCGTTTTAAATTAACTCTGAGGTAAGCTGTTTGAGTATGCTTACACAATAAACAAATTTACAAGAATACTTACAGAGATGAGAAAGACATGAGAAGAGAGTAATAGAAAGGTTTTTTTTCAACCAGTAAATAAGTATATAGACTATCACAGATAGAAGTCGAAACATGTATTCACAAATTGAAGACATCAGCGTAACTTTTTATTCCTTTGAACTGATTGAAAGACAACTAGATTACTGTTAACAAGCGACAGCATAATATGAAAGCCTTCCACGAGACGTCTACTTCCTGTAAGATTCGATACTAATGACATATCAGTAATGCCTTTATCTAGATTGATACATCGTATAGGTGTTAGGGTTTCTGCCAGCATGATAATAAAATGTCCTGTACTGAATGACATTAAAATATGCTGAGAGATGATGCATTCATCAGGAGTGTTCTCATTGACATCAGATTGTTGTTTACGATTCACACAACTGCTCCGTGTTGATATAGGTGTTGAAGTAAGCGATAGTCGTGTAACCACCGTGCGTCTACGTTCATCTAAACTCAACTGGGAGTAGTCATCAGAATAGGTTAGCGGAGCAATATCCGATAACTTTTCACCTGTTGGATTGAATAAACTTAAGTGTGGTCCAATCTCATGCTCAGTAACCGTCGATGAGAAGTGATGTACATGAGATTCAGGTGTATAATTCCATTGGACATAAATTAAACCCAATCTTGGAGCTATCAACAAATGATGTACAGAATAAGAATTTGAACACGTGAATATATCCGACTTAGGATATGAGTAGATCGGTATGTGTAAATTGTCCAGTTCAATTAAAATATCATCTAACATTAGAACACGTGACCACGTGGATAATTTTGCACTGAATAGATACACTTCTCTACAATGATCTGTTGCCATTAATGCAGTATCTAGTGAGATATTCAAGGCAACACAAGTAACTGGATTCCCACAACCATTTCCATGGAAAAATCGAATAATTTTAGCTAATACCTTTGGTTTACCATGTGTTGAAGTTGGCGATCCAGGAGGATAGAAAGCGATGCCAGCACTTTTATATTGTAAAATACAACCGGTTTGTGGTAGGCATACTTTATTGCTTGATGTTGATATATTCGGTGACATTAATTCACTACCAAAGTCATCTTGGAAAATATTTTCAGTAGATATGCTTTTACGTTGTGTCATATGCTGATCAGTACTCAAAGGTTTTGTTGTTGTAGCAGTTGTAGTAGTACTGATACTAGTACCAGAAGTGTTAGGTAACAGGGAATCTTGACTACCAAAGAATACACTTGTCTTCTTCTGTGATGTTCTTCGACTATGTGCAGACAACTGGGATTCATTCACACTAATATTAGAGAATGGTGCTTCATCTGTCATAGTATCATTCACCTCATCGTCTTCCTCACCATCAAGCATATCAAAATCCCAGACAGCACATGTTCCATCACGACTACCCGTGATGATATATCGTGTTCTTGTTGACGTGACCGTTTTACTACTTGTTGACGATTTATCCATTTTTTCATAACCACCACGATTTGTGAAGGGACAACGATCAATTGAACTATAGACGGAATCAATAGCCACACAACTGATTGTATCCGAATGTGGACTTGTCAAGATTGCTTCAACTTGTGATGAATGCATATTGTAAATGGTTAGACGTCCATCCCATCGACCACCAGCAAATAACCATCTGTCATCAAGACTTAAAGCGAATAATTGTGCACCAACAATATGATTTGTTAACGATGAAAACGCAGAGGTGCTTTTGGTTTTATTCGGATTTAAACTGAACATGTTATCAAGTCTTTTATATTTTGTATTTGAAATAAATTGGATCCATGATTGATCTAACGGCCCGATGGAACTGTTTATATATAAAAGAGTAATATTAAAAAATATGTATATTAAAATTAATTGATAAAGGAATTTAGGCTGCCATGTACGTTTGAGTCTCAAGTCAGACTGATAAAATGAAATCAATTAGGGAACCTCTTCACTAGAAGAGAAATTTAGTAAGGACCCTCAGGCACAGGGTTAGAGCTGTATGCTCAGAAGAGGTAATTGAAAACGAACTAAGGATTGTATGACACCCTTATTAAAAACAGCTATCCAGAGAATTTCATCACGGAACATATCACCAAGAAAGCAGAAAAGACCATTGTCCATCTCCAAATAAGAAGCATTTATATATAAAGGACTGCAGTTCAAGGGCGACGCATCCAGTGAAGTAACTGCTAGCAAGGTAAGGAAATCTATTCAAAGAACCTTTAAAGATGATAAACTACAAGTTATTTTTCTGCACTACCGGTTGTGATTCCCCGATTGAAAGATGAAGTATCTAGACTAACTAGCCACTCCTACCAAATCAAATGGCCTTGTGGTGGAGCGAGTTATATTGGCCGTTACTCTAAGAACTTGATTTTTTGTGCTCACTAGGAAACACCTACCAGTGTGGCTAAATAAAGGTGTAGTAAGAACCATGAAGAGTTCGATATTAGACCAACTGGTCCATACCGACCACAATGCCAACATTGAAGAATCCGTCTCTATCATCTACCTGGTACCAGCTAATTTTCAGAAAGCATCCAGGTACCAATTACTCGAAATAGAAGAGTCTATCTAAATTCGTCGTCTAGGAATAGACTTCCATCTGCATGCATGGTTAGCAAGCACTCTACAGGCTGACTGACAGGTTTCAATGTAGAGCTTCGCACAGACCTACAGCAGTTCGAATTACCACTCTCCTTCCATGTACCACACAAAGTATGAGAAGAGAGTAAGTAAAGACAGGTTCATCAAAAAACAGAGAGATGATAGACAGAAATATGAGGCAAAAAAGGTAACCAGGGAAAATAATGTAGGATTTCACCACGAGGTGACATTAGTTAGAAAGCAAGCGGAAAACCTTGCAGTACTGGACAGCTGTTTCGTCCTAGTTTGGGACTCTTCACAGTACGCACCCACCGGGACTGGAACACAGAACCTTCCGGTTACAAGGCGAGATCGTATTTCAGCAGGCCGGGTGTGGGGACAAATACTCGCCAAAGACATTGGCTAAGGGTAGCGCTATGTCGTGAATTGGCACAAGTGAGAATTCATGGACTGGCCATTGGATCGGGTCCCAGTGGCTCAATGGTCTACGAGCTCGCCTCGTAACCAGAGGATCCTGGGTTCGAATCCCGGTAGGTGCGTACTGCTGAAGAGTCCCTAACTAGGACGAAACAGCTGTCCAGTACTCCCAGCTGGTTTTTCAGTGTTTCTCTAACTAATGTCAGCTCATGATGAAATCCTGCAAACCAGTCAAATCCCTAAGAACCAACACTTGATAACAATATAATTTTATTGGATATTATACATCGCAATGAGTGAATGCATCTGAACCAGCCATTGAGAATGATTTCCAACAATATCACCGACTGTCTCCAGCCATTAGATTTTACCATCCCGAAGACCCTAAACAATTAGTCATTCTTTATCTCCCTACGGGGCTTTAATGAACTGTTGTGGATTTGACTGATTGATGAAGCCATGGTTTTGTCTGACCGCCACCAACTAACTCTTTTCCAACCTGGTCCCATGTCAGCTAACACTGCTCGTCGAGGAAGGCGATCGATGGCTAGTCATCATGCATAACACATTTCTTAACCATCTCACTCAATCGGTGTAGTCTCACAACCTCGTCCACTGATTTTCCCTCCTAATTAGTACTCGACCGACGCCTAACTTCAACACTGCTCACCCTATTAAACCACTTTACTTGGGAGATATAACGCAGACACTTATAATCAAAGATAGTTAGCTGGCCTTCTCATATCTTCCATTTTCAATGACCATGTCTAGCTCACATCCATAAAGGAGGACAGAGAAATGATGAGTAGTACATACGCCCCGTGATAGACAGCCAGAGACCACGTCTGAGTAATTTGGCGAATGCCGAACGAGCCTTCTGTATCCATGCTGAGATTCCGTCAACGACCAACCCTCTGGCACTGGCTGATGCAACTCCCCAAAGAAGTGAGGTTTTCATCACTCTCCACTAACCACTCCACTCCCTATATTTAAGCTAGAAGTTAGTCAATAGATTCCGGTCCTGTAGCATCACCTTACATTTCACAGGAGGAGGTGAATTGCATGCCAAACATTTAAGGATTTCCGTTCAAGGTGTTCAAAAGACTCCAATAAAACCATGGACACTTTCCAGTGTATTAAATAACTTGTAGAGCATAAAAAGTTATAGTACAATGTATTATTATATAATGATGTGACACCCCATTTTTAAATATGAAATTAACTCACCCATAGTGTTGCTGATTATTAGAATCATACAGTAAACTATACGGATCCATAGGTTCAATATCACCTTTTTCATCTGACATGAGCACTTGATCATCAGATGGTATCCAAAAATATCGATTAACAACACCTCTGTTGTTCAGCACAAAAACAGCTGATGCTAAACGTTCCCATCCAGTTTTGGCCAGATTTAACTGATTTGAACTTTTAAATGGAGCTGATAAATTCGGCTGGGTCGACATCTGATTAACCGAGTCAGTATTTAATCCACCTGTTGCTATGGATGCCATTGTTGGCAGATAATTCCCAGTTGAGAATAATCGAGTCTTTATGAAACCAGTACTACCACTACTACTAGTATTATTTTGATTATTATTATTATTGCTGCTGCTAATACTTAGTGAAGTCCGACCGGCTTCTCGGTTGATATCTGTCTCAGAAAAGGTGAAAACGCTTGAATCTGCTTTTGGCGGTCGACAGAATCCAGGGACAACAGCTAAATAAATTGAATTTAATCGTACAGTTGTATTTCTCTGCTGAGACTTCAAGAGACGAATAGATAGAGCTAAATTGTCAACTGGAGGAGATTTAACAATCATCCATTTCTTTTGAACTAAACGTTTCAATGAGCTATTATACTTCGGTATTAATTCCTTCTGTTCAACGGAGGTATGCGTTGAAAGTATTGAATTGACATATTCGTTCCCAGTGTTATCAGGTAGGATACGTTGAAAGAAGGAGGGTGTTCTTGAAGATTTTGGTGTGGGCGTGGATTCTTGAGCACATCTTGGTTGAATGGATTCAGTGTTTTGTTGTAATGTTGGGTCAGTCAGTTTTGATTCATTATTGGCTAGCAAATTGATTACTGGTAGTCTGCGTTGATTGACTAATGTTGACAACCATTCTGAATGTGTTAAACGTCGAGGATGTGGTTCCTATATTGATAGTAATATTAATAGCAACAGCAAATTATATATATATATATATACCCTCTGAAGGTATACAAGCTAACAGAAACCCAAGAACTCATCAATGGTGAGAACAGACGACCTAGTTGCTCTATTGCGAAATATATGATAGAAAAATTGGTGTTTTCACACGTCTTTTAAACCTATCTATAGAACGCGTTTGGGGATGAGGTATCCTAAATTGTGTGGAAGTCCTAGCTATCAATTAGGAAGTTTAAACTGCCTTTAAGCGTTCAAAGCAACATTTCGTTGTCGCACTATACCTTCCAAGGTAAACTTTGTTTTCATACCAGCTAGGGTAGATGTACCATTACCTCTGTTATTTAATTTAGTGATCTCCAGCTGTTATTTTGACTTTCGACATGTCCTTTTAACTTGTCCTACATATATATATATATATATATATATATATATATATATATATATATATATATTCCTATGACAAGTCCGTGTGTGATCAGATTGTTTGACAACAATACATAAGGGAACTAAATGTTTTAAAGTTGTTTATTGTGTTGTTCAAATGTTCCCCATAATGAAATCTAATATTGTGACCATTCTAGTGAGGCATTTAACCCAGGACCTTTTATATGAAAGCAACTATTCGTTTTCTTAATTTAGATTGAGTAAACAACAACTGGTTAAAACCTAAGGCGCAGGCCTGACTGAAATGTTACCCTCTCCTAAATTTCATTGGATAAGATTCGCCGTGGATGATTGATCCAACAAACATTTCATTATTTAATATATGTGTAATTCCTATTGTATAGTTGTAATAAACTGCAGGTAGTGCTACAACTGAACTATTCTCTGGATTTCTTATCTTATTCGGGTCAACCAATCTAGATTTTGCCAGGTTTTTGTTCTCGTCTAGTCTGACTGCTCTGTTCTAATAGTTTGACCTATGTATTTCACCTGAGAATCATTGTAGGCAGGGTATTAGATAAACTAAAGTGTTTTGTTTTATAGGCTCCACATGATTGTTCCTTTAACCGATGAAGTTTGTTTCTGATTGAGTTTGTGGATGGTTTGAATGTCAGCCACTTTTATTCCTTCCTTGTTAAGAATTCTGCGTAAGTTTCTGAGGTTCCGAGGGGAAATATACAAACAAACTGAGGGAGTTCCCATAGGATCACCAATATCCCCAGTTGTAGCAGATATATTCATAGATAGGTGGGAAAACATAGCAACTGAAACTTTCACCCCCCCCCCCAACCCAAAGGTATTGTGGAGGTATGTAGATGACACATCCACTGTACTTGGAGCACAGAATGTAGATAGATTTTTCGAACATTCAATTCATTTATGAATTGGAAAGTCAGGAAGGGGAACTACCAATGTTAGATTGTAGCGTAAAAAGGAAAGAAGATGGGAAGCTAAGCACACTAGTGTTTACAGGAAATTCACACATTCAAACAGATATTTGGACTTCCGATCATCCCATCCTATGTCAGTAAAAATAGGATTAGTGAAATGTTTAAGTGATAGAGCACAAAAACTATGTAGCACCAAGGAAAATCTAAGACAGGAAGTGAGGCATATAAAAGAAGCCTTGAAACTTAATAATTAGTCAGAAATTATGTAGGGAAATGTAAAAATAAAATAAATAATGAGAGTAGTGATAGTGATAATAATAATAATAATAATATTAATGATGACGAGTATATCAAACATGCGCAAAATAATGACAACATCAACCATAAGGAATCTAAATCATCAGTAGTAATTCCATACAAGGAAGGAACCTCGGAAACCTTACGCAGAATTCTTAACAAGGAAGGAATAAAAGTGGCTGACATTCAAACCATCCACAAACTCAATCAGAAACAAACTTCATCGGTTAAAGGCTCAGTCATGTGGAGCCTTTAAAACAAAACAATTTAGTTTATCTAATACCCTGCCTACAATGATTCTCAGGTGAAATACATAGGTCAAACTATTAGAACAGAGCAGTCAGACTAGACGAGAACAAAAACCTGGCAAAATCTAGATTGGTTGACCCGAATAAGTTAAGATATCTACAGAATAGTTCAGCTTTACCACTCACTACATGTAATTACACGCACAACCATACAATAGGCTGGATGGGATAGGATGACAGTTTTAAAATCTAATGTCACAGGGTGAAGGGGGAGATTGATAACAGAAGCTTTGTTTATCGAATCGACTGATAGGGAACACGTGTAATAGGAGTGATTCAACATCTGTCCATCCATCCATTGTACTACCCCAACGACGACGAATAGGAGAGAACAAAGAAAACTATAAAACTCAAGTTTCAAAGTCGTGTGATTATAATTGGCGATATGATTATGAACCGCAGTAAATTTTGTTCGAAACTGTGTCATCCGGTAAATGATACTGTTTCCTCACTATGTGATGCATCTAATAAACAAACTAATATGGAATTTCATTATTTAGATTTCCTGAGCTTATTATAATAAAAGTGTGAAGCCAGCTTCAGAAAGATTGAATAAATAAACGTGAAAAAGTAGAGTCTTACTTTGAGTAGTTGAGTTGGTATTTGTCCAAAATTCTGTATCATACTTTCCATAGCTTGACGTTCAAATGCATTGTCAATTTTATCCAAGTCAATAGCACCTTCATATGTGACAAAATTGAAGACATTCAAGGCTTCAACGGCATACTGACCACGTTGTTTATAACTGTTGGTAAACAAGAAAGAAGAATTAGATGGTCAATAAGAAAGCCTTTTTGAAAACTCTCCTTAGATTCTTTGACTATAACCTGACCAGTCGTGACCAGTAGGGTGCAGCATGTCGGTTGTGAGGACAAATACTCGCAGAAGAAGAAGAAGACATTGGCTAAGGGTCGCGATATGTCGTGAATTGGCACAAGTGAGAATTCATGGACTGGCTATCGGATCGGGTCCCAGTGGCCTAATGGTCTATGGGCTCACTGGCCTTGTAACCAGAAGGTCCTGGGTTCAAACCTTGGTGGGTACGTGCTACTGAAGAGTCCCAAACTAGGAAGAAACAGCTGTGCAGTACTCCCAGGTTTTCCAATGGTTCTGTAACCAATATCAGCTCATTATGAAATCCTATTACCTGATGAGTCACGTAGATGCAGACGTTCGACAGTACACCCAACACTAAAGCTCCCTGCTTATTGAGACTTTTTAGCAACCCTGAAAGAATTAACGCAATAAAGGAAGTTAGCTGAAAGCCCGACTAACTGCAGAGCTTGATGACAAGTGCTGTAGTCTCAGGAACGAGTGCCATCAACTACGAAACCTAGGTGTAGGAATTCCTGTTAGGGAACGATTGTCTAAAAAATCATTCCCGAACGATCTAATTACAACACTAGTACTTATTTGGATATTTCATTTCACATTTCAACTAACCGTGTAATTCAAGTGTTGGTTTGTAAGGATTTGATTGATCGGTTAGAGAACCATTGGAAAAACTCCAAAGACTGCTGGACAGCTGTTTCGTCAGCCTAGTTTGGGACTCTTCATTAGTAAGCATCCACCGCCAGGGTTCGGACGCAGGACTTTCTGGTTACAAAGCAAGCTCGTAGACCATTGCAAAAGTCACTGGGACCAAGATCCAATAGCTGGCCCATGAATTGCAACTTCAGCCGATGTTTTCGGCGCGACTAGTGGTCGCGCTGTGTAGTGAACTTGTAACAACAGAAGACAAGGGCCAGGCAACAGATCGTTTTATTATGAAAATCAACACGTATTTATACATATTTCACATACATTATTATAGCTTATGCAAGTAGACAAGCGCAGTCATCTGATTGGTTGTTTATCAGAAGTTAGGCAGACAAACGCAGGCTTCTGATTGGTTGTTTCGGGATTCCTCGACAAATAGAGTTCTCTATCTGCGAATCATATTTTGCCACGTTAACTTTGCTGTGATTGGTTGTTGAATCAGCCTTGTTCATATTTTCTCACGGCCTGCTCTCACCACAAACTGACAGAAGTTGGAATTCATTGGCCACTGGTTTTGGGTCTCAGTGACTGAATAGTCTAAGAGATCGCCTTGTAACCAGGAGGTTCTGATTTCGAACCCTGGAGGTGGCTGCGTACTACTAAAGAGTCCTACACTAGATCGAGACAGCCGTCTGGCAGTAATCTCAGGTTTTCCAGTGGTTGTCCTACACATGTCAGCTTATAACGAAATCCCATAACTGAACTTGTAATTAATACTGGTTAATTTTATTGTACAGTACTTGTTTCGTAACTAAAAAACTACTAGATCTGTATAGCCAGCTACTTAATGATACAGTTGAGGTGATTTTGAGTTTTGAAACATTATTATTGTTAAACAGCACCAAAGATTTTTTTGATTACAGCTTGATTCCACACCGTATTTTTGGTACAGGTATGGAATTTTCAGCATGTGATATATCGGCAGCCCAAACTTTGCAGGCCGACCATAGATATCAGGTGTGCGTCGGCAGAGGATCGAACCCCGGACCATGTGCATGGTCGGTGAGAGTCCTAACCACTGTGCCACCGACGTACGGTGGCAAATAATTATCTTTTACTGTCGTCGAGACATTTTGGGACTGTGAGTCACTCAGGGAGTTTCGGTTATGTATACAGCAGAATAAAAGGATTTTTTTCCTGCGTTCAGATCACAACATGTCGGTTCTGGTCGTTAAATGTCCTATTGACTGCTACAAACTACTGAATATCCATTGAAATTGTACCATGGTGGCGTTTCATCTGGGAAAGCGACCAAAAATCAACGTAGACTGATGGAATTCAGTCAATACCACGATCACAGAACAGACACAAGTTATTAGCTACCCCCTAACGACCAACCCATGTATCAGTTAACGTCATACTGTATCCAAAAGCAACAGTTATTGAGTTGTACGGCGTATTATTCAGTTTCTTTCCGTCAACATATACCAACCAGTTCATATACAGGTCAGGCAAACAGGTGTCCGTCATAGTGAATTCCACTGAGTCACATATGAGGCTAGATAGTCACCGATAACACTGACTTACAGTGGCTCTACATACCGCAAATTAGTAGAAGTCAAAATTCACGAATCACTGGATTCCATCTCAGTGGAAAGATAGTCAACTGATTCTCTTCATCACTTAAAGGCCAAGAAATAGCTGTTTAGCACTTTCACATTTCCAGTAATTTTTGATCTTGCCTGGAAAGAATTTTATCAATGGAATTCATCACTTATAACTTAATTAAATTGCATGTCTTTATGATGCAAATCTACTAGTTGACAAGCGGTCATATGATTAGTATAAGAAATTGTCACATGTTTGCTAAAGAACTTTTCACTTCATCAGATTACATATTCTACAAAGAGACATAATGACGTAAAAGTGTGTTAAAAATACTTCTTATATAATATAAAAATGCTTACTGTAATAAAATTGAGACTAGATCAAAACAAGTAGTAATGTACTGACAGAAGACAAGGACCAGGCAGCAGATCGTTTATTGAGAAAATCAACAGGTATTTATAGATTTTTATGTACATTATTGCTAACGGAGAAGGAACCTCTTCTGATTGGTTGTTTTTTTTTTGCTGAAGGTTCTCCTGTTATCTCTTTGTGGCCATTTCTCAGAAAATCAAGCCATATGTCTGTGATACATATTTCCACACTTTAAATCCTCCGGGATTGGCTGGCGATTTTCTCAAGGTTAAGCTTTGTTATTGTTTTTCTCATGATCCTGATTCGGGACTTAAATAGTGACGTAAACTGTTGTCTACAACTTCGCTTAGCATACAGCTCTCACCACAGTAGTACTCCAAAAGGTACAGATACGAACTCAGTCAATCCTAATAAAGGTTTTAAGCTTAGACATTTTCTCTCTTATTGGAACTGGCTCCTTTATCTTTGTCATTTTAACGATTGTTCGATTATCAAGATTTCTATCTCAAGTCCTAGAGCGCTTTGGGTTCCCATTTTAAATTTTATCAGTCTACGATACACTCAAGCTTGTTTTGACTGGACACTAGGCAGTAAGCGACTAGTATCCAATTAAATTATCTATTACAGTCATAAAAGAGGTCAATTTTGAGCCCGAACAGCTCAGTGGGGATAAAGTCTCTGACTGTAGGACTGGACCACCAGGGTTCGAATCTCAGAAGAGACATAAGTTCCTCGAAGATTATAGGGACACCTTGTTGACTGTTGAGTACTAGTCACGAAACCAAAGTCAGGCAAGGCTTCTTGTCAATTGGTTCCAATCACCTAATAACACTCATGCTTCTTTAGAAAGCTCTATCAGAAATGTATGCAGAGGAACATGGGAAGACGTGGTGTTTTAGGGTATGTTAGAGACAACAGACGGTGAATTCACTTGCGCTGTTGAGAACGATTTTGGTCCAGATCACCAATAGTCTCCAGTCATTGGTTTTTAGACTCCCCAGGACCTTAACCAGGTGGTCTGCTCCTCTCCACATGGCTCAAACCAATTGTCGAAGACTTCACAGACTGATTTCAGCTTTAGATTTGACCACCCTTAATTGATTTCCAACCCATCCCTATGTCAGCTAACATTCCTAACCGAGGAAGGCGCTGGCTTAGCTTAACAACTTCATCAATTGAACTACTCTCCTTGCCTAACAATCTACGTCTAGTCTCAATATTACTCACCATATTACACCACCTAACACTGGAGACAGAACGCAAACATCCGTGATCAAAAACAGCCAGCCTTACCAGATGGTTGGGGGACATCGGCAGGAAGCCTTGGTTGACCTAGGTTTCGTGCTAGTTGGCACTCGTCACGATTGAGGTCAACTGTAGTATTTTTTCTATTTTTTTATTTTTGATTACAGCTTGATTCCACGCCATATTATTGGTACAAGTATGGAATTCTCAGCATGTGATATCGGTAGCCCAAATTTTGCAGCCTGACCATAGATATCAGGTGTGCGTCGGCAGGGGATCGAATCTCGGACCATTAGCATGGTCGGCGAGAGTTCGAACCATTGTGCCACCAACGCACGTCTATGACTGGAGCACTATCTGGAGCGGGTGCGAATGTCAAGAGGGACATAAGTTCCCCTAGGGTATAGGACAAATCTTGCAGACTGCTGAGTATCGACTAGCACGAAACCTATTTCCAGGTAGGGATTCCTGTCGACTGCCTCCAACCATCTAATACTTATAATTCACAGTGCACCGTGATGGCAAGCCGCCAAGAACAGTGGCCATATTGCAAACTTGATTGGTAGAATTCAGTCTGCAGTGTCCATAAAAAAACAGCCAACCTTTTCACATTTTCCACTTCCAATGGCCACGTCTCACAGCCATGAAAGAGTACGGAGAGAACTGCTGTGCTGTGCGAATCCTCTTTGATCGATAGCCCCCCGGATATCATGTCTACGCCAGAGATGATGTAGGTTGACAAATGCTATTCGAGTTTAGACTTAATCATCAATCACTACATTGGGGCTGACGCAACATGCTCAAACATTCCATACCTTATTTCTAAGCTAGAAGACAGAGCAGTCCACTTTCTAGAGGTGAACTGCAGGCCAAATATCCGAGATTTTCCACTTTAGGTGTGTTCAGAAGACTCTGCATTTCGTCAGATGACGACTCCCAAATAGAAAAGAAAACATGCCTCCTAAATTCCACTGCGAGTCACTGTCAACCAAGCGAACCTTCACATATCATTCAAGGCAATTTCGAAAAAGAAAAAAAGAAACCTCTTACCCAAAGATTAAATCAATCCATTCGTTTAAATGTGCAGAAACGTAGTCAGATTCTAGTGCACCACGATGTTTACGTATAAATTCTTCTGGTGTAGATGCCCAAGCCGGTAGTTCAACATCATTGATACGTGTATGATTTTGTTGAAGACAGCCCAAATCAAAATCTTTTGTTTTGAAAAAGAGAAGAGCAAAAGTGGAAGATGATATTTAGAATTATGGCTACACGTATATATCTTTGAAATGAAATCGCTTTGTTTTGAGACAGAAGGTAAGAAGTATCATCAATAACACTTGGCTGCATGAATTCAAGTAGAGTACCTTGATCAGTGCTAAGTATTTTCTCAGCATTCCTCTTACAGTCAAACATCGCCATAGTGCGTCTTGTTCGACAAAATCAAATGCCGCTTTCAGGAAATATATCAATTGTTGGATGTTGGTGAGCATGCTTGTGTTGCAGAATCTGTCGAAAGGTGAAGACATGATCAATATGCACTATTCCTGGTCTAATGCCTGCCTGGTTCTCCTGCGTTTGTTTCTCCAAGCACCACTTAGTTTACACATGACTATTGAGCCTGGAACTTTAATTAATATATTTGTCAAGTTAATCCCCCTGTGATTATCACAGGAAGACTTGTCTCCTTTCATGCATATCGGGATAATCAGTGACTTACACCAGCCCGCAAACTGTTTTTTTCAGCTAGCATTGTTTTTAAAGAATATCCATGGTCAAATGTGCGTAAAAGACATACCTCAGTAATCTGCAGTCCTACAAGAGGTTTGTCATTCACTTGAATATTCCACTGTTCATGGAAGTAAACAATAGACAGGAAGTTCAGCGAGGAGACTCTTTTCGGTAAGTTCAATCTCCTCTTTAGCAGTACAAACGCATTTATATCCAATCTCTTTTTCATAAAATAGGGCAGTAACAAAAGTGACGAGTTGTCACACTCATAATTATTAATATTAGTCCATGTCTAGGAGGATTTGAATAAGTGTATACGAGTTACGTAATAAGATGAATAATTTAATGAGTGAGTTGTAATCAGGATGCATAGAGAAACGAAGGAAAATATGGAATTATGTAAAAATTATAAAGAAATACACGAGTTGCTAGGGAGCTGAAAAATAAACAAACAAAATTCAGGTCAGTAGAATTCAACAAGTATGTTACCATGATGGTGGTTGTGGTTGAGTAATTCTCTTTTGTATGCGGGGTTCCGGTTTCTTCCTCTGAATAGCTGGAGCTTCAGCAATACAAAGAAGACGAAAGCGTATTACCCTTGGCAGGTTATTCTTCACTTTATATATTGACTAACACTAACAGCTATTTTCAATGTTAGATGGTTGGAGGCAATCGGCAGGAAAGCTTGTCTAACCTAGGCTTTGTGCTAGTCGGCACTTACCACTCAGCAAGATAGGAGTATCTGCAACTTTGAAGGAAGTCATGTCCCTTTCTGAGATTCGAACCCGTGTCACCTAACGTTGCAGTCAGAGACGTTACCACTGAGCCAATTGGGCTCGCGTCTGACCTCCTGTAGGACTGTATTAGATATTTTTGATTGGATACTGGTCAGGAACTAGTGTAATTTGTCTAGTCCTATCTTTGGTGCGGACAGAATTCTATCAGTCAAGTTTGCACTGTGGCCACCATTTTGGGTGGCTCACCGTCACGGTGTACTGTGAATCGTTGATATTAGATAGTTGGAGGCATTATAGGCTGGAGGCTGCAGCATCCAGGATGACGCAGGTTCGAATCTCAGAAGAGACACGAGTTTCTTCAAGGTAGTTGCAGATACGCCTTGCTGAATAGCAAGTGCCAACAAGCACGAAAACTAAGTCCAAGGCTTCCTACCGATTGCCTCAAACCATTTATATCAACAATCTACAGCACACTATGATGGCGAGCCACCTAGCGTGCTGGCCACATTGCAAACTTGACTGATAGAATTTAGTCTGCACCAAAGATAGGACTAGACACATATTACGCTAGTTACTGGCTAATATCTAATCGAAAATTAACAACTATATTGGTTATAAATCATCCGTTTTGTTTCTACCCTTGAAGAACTGCATACAAATGCGACTGTAAATTTAAGGAAAATGAATTCGCCGAAAAGAACCACATCGCTGAACTACTTGTTTCGTTTTCATTATTATCATTCCATTGTTCACATAACGGATTGAAGAACTAGATCCATATCTCTGGGGAACACTTCCGCTCCTTCAAGACTGTGGATACGTCAGAAAGCAAAAGTCATGAAAAGGCATAAACAAACACTTACCATCATTATTTTTCAAGAATTCTGGTAAAAAGAAAAACTCTGGTATCAATTCTTTATTATCACATGGATTGTCTAGAATAAAGCGCCAAGCATTTGGAATGGAATAGAATTGACGATCGGCAACATCGAATCTGTAAATGTAATTGTTTCAAGAAAAACAATCATTAATTAAGGACTAATTTGAATAAATTCTTGACCAAGAACTGATATCATTTAGAGAGTTATTGAAAAAATATCAGGGAGTACTGAACAGCTGTTTCTTCCCACTAGTTTGAAACTCTTTAGCTGAAGAGTTTTGCTGAAGTTCTAGTAAGATCTCATGACCAGTGGACTCACCAGTTCAGGAAGAAGCACAAATATTCGCCACAAATATTACATATTCAGGCCGATTCTGTATGGCTGAATGGTCTGCGAATTCGTCTTATACCCGGAAGTTCCTGGGTCATAACTTCGTGGGGTTTGTACGATTGAAGAGCCCCAAACTAGGACGAAGTAGTCTTCCAGTACTCCCCGGAGTTCAATGCTTCTATAACCGATATCAATTCGTGATCACATTTGAAACCAGTCAAATCCCTAGAGACAAACTCATAAACATTTTTTTGTTATATTCATTTGACTGCTGACGAAGATTTTAAAAGTGATTTGTGATAGCGTGGTGTGTACTACTGACAAGATTTACCAGTAGTATATAAAGAGGAGTTCATAAGTATACAAAAATATCAAACAACCGAGAGATAGATTTCTCGTCAAAGAGAGGAATGAACCAGTGTATTGCGGCAAAACATGGAAGACACGGAAAGTGGAGGACAAAGAAACACAATGGCTAGGACAGAGGTAGCAAAACACGGAAGATCTGTGCAAATGGCGTTTTATTAGGACAGTTGGCCATTTCAAAAACCATTCCTTTATAATAAAGTCAGCACTGAAGAAGTTATCTAGAGGGATAACTAAACAGTTAGAACTAAACTATCCAACTGAGAGAGGAAAACAACACCAAAAACATCTGTGTTCTCCATTATTTGAAAATTATTTGCTGACACATTTATGCACATCCGTTATCGATGTTAGACGGTTGGAAACAGTCAACAGGAAACTGCAAACCTAGGTTTAGTGATTATCGACACATACTAGCAAGGCGTACCTGTAACACTGGTGGAAGAACTGATGCCCCCTCGGAGACTAAGACCCACGTCATCCGCAGCTACCGTCATAAATGTGGCTTTGAATTTCACTGGAGACAACAGTTCCTTCAAGGTTACAGATAAACCTTATTAACGAGTGGCTGCAAGCATAGAAGGTGGGTACAGGACTACCAAATGATATGACAGCCATTGGTAAACCAACCAGTACTGTCTCTTTTTGGGACTATTCATTAGTACGTACCCACTGTGATCCGAACCCAGGACCTTCCAGTAACAAGGTGAACTCAAAGGCCATTCAACCACTGGAACCCAATCCAGTGGCTAACCTGTAAATTCCACCCTCCGACAGTTCGTGATATGTATATCGCTACCACAAACAAATGCCATAGGCGAGTAACTGATCTCTTACCTGATTTGCTAGACCTCACTGGTTACAACTTCTCACTAAACCTCCAGGTAACTTAGTGTACAGAGTCAGTCACTAGTGAGCGTCGGATAGCAGAGATCTGATTGGTAACAGGTTTGATCACGAGTTGATATTAGTAAGAGATTACCTTCAGACACCAAATAATAATTAGAAAAGTGTACTGGGATGATAGATTCGCCTCCTGGATTTGTGATAACACTGCATTTTAGTCAGCACCAAGACTAAGGACTGTACATGCGACATCTGATTGGTCCGTAGTTATTGATCAGTGTTCATGTGTGATTTTCTGCTAGTGTATCAAATTCATAAGTCTCACCTTTTTACAGCGATGACATTTCTTTCATTGACATTAGCCTTCCGTCTTTACCAGACTTACTACCCAGGATAAGCAAGGTTTCGGAGTGCACCACAGCCGGGAATCGAACCCTTGACCAAGTGAGTGCTCAGGAAGAATTCTACTACAACAACAAAACACACAGATATGCATGTGAAGTGTGCATATTGGTAGGTAATAGGTGATGAAATTGAAATAAATGCCTGGAATGTAACTGAGGACTTAGGCAGGCAATCTTCAGAAGAATAAGCAACTGACAGGCTAAGTGAATCACAGTTTATCAGGTTACAGGAAAATATACAATGAGGCATTAAAAGTTGTACTTACTTATTTCCATGTAAATGAATATGATAGGTTGTAAATGGTTCCAGACGAACAAGATAATGAAGTACACCAGCAGCACTGGAGTAATGGGTTCCATGATGAAATCTCTGCATTATTCCACTTGGATCCTCAAAAGAATTATATCTAGTGAGAATTCAAAATAGCAAACCGGTAGAAATTAACTTTAAATATTGTATTTGATGAAGGAAAATCATCGCTAATGTGAATAAATGGAAAATATCTGGATGAGAACAGGATAATATAATAAGCGAGCAATGCTGTTGTCTTCAATTAGATCTTCTTCAGGCTTTACTCTAATTTACATTGACTTATATATAAGAAAACTTTTAACCAATGACAGATGATTTTGTGGATCAAACAATAATAATAATAATGTGGTAAATATTTTGAACGTAGTTAATAACGATGATTATAATGATAACAAAATATTGATAACAAGGTTTATGCAGGTGGCGATAAGAATAACACAGGTAGTGAGAGATATGTGTGTATATATAGACAATTCAATGCAATACATAAATTAGGCCACATCCCAAAAGTTACATAATACTCAGGATGAAGTGGACAGATAATCAGAGTTTAAATAAATATCATAAAAGTATGAAGGAGATGGAGAATAAGAAAGGGTGGGGGTATTTTAAACAGAATTTACCCAGGCCAAGTGAGAGACAAAGGTAGAACAAACTTCTTTTTTCGTAAGCAAAGACACTGGGAATGTTTTCTTGAATTATTTCTTATAGCTTCGGCTATGTGTAAAATCTGGGTTCGAATTCCGTTCAAAAGGTTCGATGGAGTGCGACAGATAACTTTGAAGGCACTACTTCTGTCCACCTGGTGACCACTATCAATCAAGTGCGTCAAAATAGAACTTCTTATAGATTTTATTTGAAATTTTCTGAACCATGAAGGTAGATGCTCATTAATGATGCATTTGCCGAGCTGTCTAGTTGCCGGCTCTATGTGGCTGTCTTCACAGGAGCAGATAAATTTATAGACACACATAGAAATGGCACAGCTAAGTAGCTTATCTTTCACTTGAGCGATCATAATTGGTCGACAGCTGGAGAATGACAAACAAAAGGTGGCGGTAGTATAAGTCCGTTTTAATGCAGTCAGTGAAGCGCCTAATTTGACTTAAATTCACGCTCTTTTCGTAAAATTTTGTTGGATGTATGCTTACATAGACTGTGTATATCACGAACTAGTGTCTATTGCTGAAATGCTTCACATCTTTGTATCACACAAAATATCATTGCCCAAACTAGACCTTTAAAGACAATCAATTAGGACTATAGCGGTAAAGTTTCGACTCTTTCCACAACGGCGATGTCAACATCCATTACGCTTCACTTTACGAGTCAGTGTATCCTCTTGTCTCAGTCTGACGTTATGAAGAATCATAAAAGCTGACGTTTTGACTGATACTATTAACCCCACGAATAGAATCTAAGGATTACAAAACAGTAGACCATACATATCCCGAAATGGGAAAAATTCACTGTCTGAATATTGTTTAGCTGAATGGTACAACTGTGAAACATGTAGAAATAATAAAGGCTATAGACAGTTAACTTCATGTTACGATTAATCCTGAACACAGTCTCTAGAGGGAAAATGACGCCTTCTCGATTAAACCAGCCAACTTAGATAATACAGTCACATTAATGTCCTTTAAACTGTGTATACAGTGTTATATATGTGAATTTTCAGACCAGCAAGAAACCCTAGGGACGAAGTATCCATGAACCTACTGTCACCGTAGTCAGAGAGAAATGAAGGTGAATAAGAAATACGCTGAGAAGAAATTTGAATGACATCGCCCGCCAGGCCGGAACTCAATTGGAACTCGAATGAGAAACGAAGAGTTAGGCGACCTACGCTGACATGTGAGAAGATCATATGAGGGGAAAATGAAGGCTTAAGTGCAATCGTGAGGCCGGTAAGACAGTGAAATCTGGAAATGCTGCTGCAGACTGACGATGCTCCACTCGAGACCCAAACAATAATTATCTAATTTAATTTAGATTTTCCCATTGATTGATTGGACCGAAGTGCTCGGTCTCAGGTTGACATACCGGTTCCTTTTGCAGACGCCTCGACGATGTCCGGTCACGTAACTTGTAGTCAGTTGGTGGATGATGACTAACAGTGGAATCCAGGATGTACATTTCGTCCTATTCGGGACTCGTAACCTGCATTTGCCGGCTAATCACCATCAACCAACTGACTTCAAGGTACAAGACCAAACGTTGTCGAAGCATTTGCACAAACAGCCAACGTGTCAATCTGAGACCAAGCACTTTGGTCCAATTAATCTACGGAAAAATCAAAATTGAATTAAATAATTAATATGACTCTTTTCACAAGAGGTGACTGTCGTGATCCAAGTGATCTAGTGTATAACGCTTTGACGTTCGAAACTTTGGGTACTGCGTTCGAGCCTCAATGGGGAACACCATCACTCACTGGGGAATGCAGGTACATCCAAATGACGAGTCCCGAATAGGACGAAGTGCGCATCCTGAATTCCACTGCTAGTCATCACCAACTAATTGAATTCAATCAACAGAAACTCTAAAATAGTTTCAATAAATATCAATTTATACACATTAAGAAATAATAATTGACTAATTAAATTTAAACTAACTTGTCTCTAACTATATCGGTGAATTTAGGATTTGCCAATCCTATTGGACGTGAGAGAACACGAAATGCTTTTTCAGACGTTAGATCGATCTCAGATGATGTGTAATCAGCCAGAATCCAAGGGAACTACAATTTGAGATAAAGAAGCGTAATAATAAAAATCGTAAATACTAACTAGTAATAAGGTGTGGTAGTAGTAGTAGTAGTAGTAGTTTTCATTGAAGGTTGCTCAGACACCCGTGAATACAGGCTGATGAACCAATGAGATTTATTTATTTATTCAGCACTTTTTAAAGGAGTGATTCATAATGGGTGTTTCGTCCCGCTCGGTTCTCATCAACTGCCTATGCTTGTATCCCACTGAATAGTGATGTTCCTAGTGCATCTTAAAAAAAATACTTAACACCTCATATGACAAGATATTCTTCACACACTTCGGACTTTGTAGAGTTTGTGATTCATTACAGTGAAGATTTTGTCGTGAAGGCCTGTTAGTCAGAGTGTTATTGAATTTCAGGGAGCTTTGTTCACCTTCAAACTCACCAGGAATTGAATTCAGCGTCTTCAGGTGATTGTGATCAGCAAGCCGTCCATTCAGCAACTAGTTTGTGATTCAGTGCCTCATGAATTCTAATTTCTGTCAACCCGTGATATTGCCCTACAGACATCCAATGCCATCAATCTCACTGGACACCTCAGTATGAAAGAATTCTGGTGAGGTGCCACTTTAGCAGGATTCAATGCATATGCACAGAGAATACACTTGAAGATGTAGGAAGTATCCCTGTCGAAGCTCTGATTGGGAACATTTCCCCAGACAAGTTCACACTATCATGGCCTATTTCCCAATGAGGTAGGTAACAGGCTATCCTGCATGGGTGATCATAATAGTGTGATACTTAGACAAAGATTGAAACAAATGGCCAAAAAGACTATTTGTGCACCTAAGATCTGGATAATTGAGAACGTGAGGCTTAGCCCTAAGAACATGTGAAAATGTGATTGGAACGAAGACGTTTCCAGTGTGCTTCGGAATACTCTTTCTTATCCATACAGCTCTTCAAAAACCCTGATTCTCAAGTTTGTTGTGGCAAGCTTAACATAAACTTAGACAAACATATCAAGCTCTATCACTGTCACAGGGTTCTCACTGCTTTTTTCAAAGGACCTTCTATAGCAATAAGTTATAAAAAGAATAAAAGACGACACATCGAAGAAAAATTCCACACAATTCATATTAAAATGCAAGCTTTGGCGTTTGTTTCGAATTTCTGTGAATTTTCAATGAATACAAAGGACCTGAATATATATATATATAATACCAGTTTCAGGGACTGATCTGTCAGGAAAGTGATGTTATTTTGCTTGATGATAAACATCAGTAAAATCGAAGGTGTATATTTCGTCCCTTTCGGGACTCATCATCTCAGCAACTCTATAACATCTTACATAGAGGCTGCCTATTGAATAGAATAGAAAATAACAGTCTTATTCAGAGGAGTGTTTATATAATGTACAGAATTTTCAGCGGAGTTGAATGCACGATATTTTCTCTATATCCAGGATTTTTAAATAACACATTAAATTGACAGTAGATGGGGTAACAAAGCGTTGCCTGACTCGTAGCACAAACCAATCCATTATGATGACACCTCTTCTATATCTCCTTCCTGGAATGCACAATGTTTTGGTTGAAAGCCAAAAATAAAAAGTTCAGGAGTACAATTTCAGAACCAAGGAGGACACCGCTCAGGAACAGTTATCTAACAGTACTGCAATACGTTGCCCCCACCCCCACGACTATTCATTTTCTCAAGCTTAAAAGAAGCTAGTGAACACCATCAGGTCGTTAGTACTTTAGATACTCGCAAGAGTGAATTATACTACTATAAGTGAACCATGGACATCACTCAGGAACAGTTATCTCATGTACTGGGATTAAGCTCCCATCCATTGAAGATATCGCTTTTTACCATGTTCAATAAAAATTGGCGAGTCAGAAGTTGGAAGCCTTTTTAAATAGCCCCCTGAGTAAACAATACTATTAGAGGTCATATTTTATTGGATGAAAACAAATTGGACTGTAGGAATCATATACAGTATATTGATACAAAAGAATTTTGGAAGCCAAAAATTTTAAACATGGCGCCTGGTTCAATAAAAATTCAAATCATACAGTAAAAGAAACCAGTAGTAAATTTTACTAAATCACTTACCACAGGATATTGACCAAGATCATTAAATGTTCGTCCAGCTATTGTATTCAAACGCATAAGATATTCAAAATTTGATATTTCTCTATTAACCCAACGCTAGAAAAGATAAGAACACAAATGGAAAATACTTACTAATCTTTTAGTTATATAAATGAGTGCGTTAAAAACCAATTCATTCGAAGTAAACTTACTTTGTCTCCAAACAAAGCACTCTTATTTAATAACGCATACCAGCAAACGACCAGGTCTAACCACTAACGTGCCTTTGAATCGAAATATATTTTTTTATATTATAGCTTGATTCCACACGGTATTTATGGTACAACTATGGAATTTTTAGCCCGTGATATCGGTACCCCAAATTTTGCAGGCCATTGACATCATGTGTGCATCGACAGGGGATAGACGTCGACGAGAGTCCTAGCCGCTGTGCCACCAACGCACAGAGGAGGCGGTCTCCACGCGCCGACCGGGCTGTTACATGGCCATTCACAGGTGCTATCCCGCTACCGCACCACGCGGGGACGTTTTCTTGCTGGGTTTCCCATCTGAGCCGGTGCGCCCCTCGACCTGGACAACCTGTCCTCCGACAGGTCATCCATATCGGCGCCGTGTTTAGTGTGAACATCCGATCAACATGCGCACTCATATGCCAGAACTGTTGGTCCCGCGGAATTCCTCACCCTGGCCTCCAAGTAGCTAGATAATAGGCGTACACCACCACGCTACGTTTATATCACTAGGGATCATGTTCTACATCGAATTCCGCAGCAATCTATAGATTCATACTCTACGATGGAGGCAATCGGCAAGAAGCCCTGGATTTGCATTTCGTGCATCAACAATAAGGACCAGAAACATGATACTAGTTAACCCCAGTAACCATTAAAGTCCTATAATATACCGATTGAGAAGGCGAATAGCCCAGTAGTATTACTTCTGATTGCAGCATTAAATAATGCGGGTTCAATCTTACAAGGAAAATCAATTCCCCCCAAGGTTGTAGACAAGCTTTACGAAAGAGTGTCAAAAGGAAGATAGTCCTAAGTTCATAGCTTCCTACCGACTACTCCTACCCGTCTAAAAGAAGCCCGTCACAATAGCAAGTCTTCTAGAATCGTGATCGACCACACTACAAATTGACGGATAGAATTTAGTCAACACTAAGACTAGGGAATAGACAAGTCACGCTGAATACTCTCCAGTGTAATAGCCATATTTGGTTAGAAACTGGGAAATGTGGACACCTAGTGCTTCACTTGAGCAGATTATTACCAAAGCAATCTGAGAGCAATTAAACTTTGTATCTCACTGGTGATCACTTTTCGGTACTGAGTCTAGACACAAATTCCTGATCCATAGTTGTCAGTGAACGCTAGGAATTACTGTTATCTTTAACTATTTTCACTTTCGATTTTGTCACCAACTGGCATCCGCTGGAGAATCACTGAGAATTAAGTAGCCTTGGACGGCAGTTTCGTCCTTGTTTGACACTTTTCATCAGCATGGATGTATGACCCCACAAGATATATGGAGTTTTATTTATTTTTTACAATGATGTCATATCTTTCTCAGACCAGAATGTATTCACAAATATGATATTTTTGACAGTAGGTTGTAGGCATGTTCAGGTGACTTTTGAAATTATCAACCAACCTCCAGAAATGCGACATACACCGATTTAATTCCATTATGGGTAAATTTTGTTTTTGATAAAGTCTCACAGTGTTGTTATACAGTAATGTCTACTGATGACGTTTCGAGCGCAATTTATTGCTCCTAATCATATCAAGGTAATCACACGACTTCCTAAATTCATTTATATAGTTCCATTGTTTTTCTCTTGATTTTCACTTGATTTGATTGGTAATAGTATTTTCCATATTTCAGGTATGAGTGACGAGTCATTCCTATTGCATGTGTTGGGTGTAGACTCGATGAACAAGGATTCAGTAATCAACCTCTCTCTCCACCTACTTAGATTACTTACACACAACCCCACAATAGGGTGGGAGGGGGTTAAAACTCTAAAAAGTAATCTAGATAGGTGGAGAGAGAGGCTGGTTACTGAATGCTTGTTCATCGAGTCTACACCCAACACATGCAATAGGAATGACTCGTCACTCATAGCTGAAATATGGGAAATACTATTGTAACAACAGAAGACAAGGGCCAGGCAACAGATCGTTTTATTATGAAAATCAACACGTATTTATACATCTTTCAACTACATTATTATAGACAAGCGCAGTCATCTGATTGGTTGTTTAGGTAGACAAACGCAGGCTTCTGATTGGTTGTTTCGGGATTCCTTGACAAATAGAGTTCTCTCTGCGAATCATATTCTGCCACGTTAACTTTGCTGTGATTGGTTGTTGACTCAGGCTTGTTCATATTCTCTCACGGCCCATATTAGTGACCTAGACCTTAACGTAGATTAGTGCCAACCAATCGGCTAGCAGCCTGCTCTCACCACACTCGTCCCCCCGTCAAATACGTGCGACTGAAGTCGGCTTGATCTACTTGGTGCAGGCGTCATCGTTGGCTTGTCTCGCTGTATCCATTTCTGGAGCTCGCTGACGTTCACGCGCCTCTCATTGTTCGCCATTGCGACTGTGTCTGCGTAACCCCATCTCGAAGTGACCATATATGGTCCTTCCCACTTTGGAAACTGTTTGCCTGACCCTGTCGAACATTCGTCCATACTTCGGCGCACACTTTCATATGCTGCTTTCACCCGACCTCCCAGCAGCGTCCCAAGTAGCAGCTCCATCGCTGACAGATCTTGAACGCCACTCAACTGCGCAGAAGCCTTGAAGTCCTGCCCGAAGATCCATATGTCTCCATCAAAAACAGCAGGGCATAGGCATCCCATTTGTCGGTAGGCAGCGACACCAAATGTAACAACAGAAGACAAGGGCCAGGCAACAGATCGTTTTATTATGAAAATCAACACGTATTTATACATCTTTCAACTACATTATTATAGACAAGCGCAGTCATCTGATTGGTTGTTTAGGTAGACAAACGCAGGCTTCTGATTGGTTGTTTCGGGATTCCTTGACAAATAGAGTTCTCTCTGCGAATCATATTCTGCCACGTTAACTTTGCTGTGATTGGTTGTTGACTCAGGCTTGTTCATATTCTCTCACGGCCCATATTAGTGACCTAGACCTTAACGTAGATTAGTGCCAACCAATCGGCTAGCAGCCTGCTCTCACCACACTATTACCAATCAAATCAAGTGAAAATCAAGAGAAAAACAATGGAACTATATAAATGAATTTAGGAAGTCGTGCGATTACCTTGATATGATTATGAGCGGTAATAAATTGTGCTCGAAACGTCATCAGTAAACATTACTGGATAACACTGTGAGACTTTATCAAAACAAAATTTACCCTTAATGGAATTACACTCAACCACAGTGCACAAGTTTTATTCTTATATCAATGATACACCGATTTATAATGAGAATATTATTGTTTAGATACATTTTGCATCCGTTACGTATCAAACGACAAGAAGGACGAACTCAGCTATCAGAGTTAAACCTAAATTGTTCTGTATTGATTGAATCTTGTTTTGGAGCGTGGTACTCTAACGACAGAAGACAAGGGCCAGGCAATAGGTCGTTTATTAAGAAAATAAAGAGACACTCATAGATTTTTATGTACATTATTATTGGCATTATCTTAAACAGAGAAGCAGCGACTTCTAATTGATTGTTTTCTTGCTCAAGGATTTTCTCTACTGCTTGTGACCGTTTCTTAGAAGGCTAAGCCATATACCCGCGAATCGTATTAGCACACGTTAAGTGTGCTGTGATTGGTTGGTGAGTTCCTCAAAGTTAAGCTTTGTTTTCTGTTTCTCACGACCCCGATTCGGGACGTGAACACAGACAATTTTTGGCTTGCAGCAAGTTTTCACCACAGTACTAGACCCTTGTTAACATATTTTACCTCCTAGTATAGAGGCTTTGTGTTATGACTCTCGATTGATGATAGCTTACAGTGGGATCCAAGACAAACATCTCATCCTCTTTCGGACTCAGCAACTAGATTCGCGTGTATTCAAAATGACTAATGATTGTACCCCGTAAAATCCTAACTCATTTCAAATCCTAATCTGCTACCCATTAGGCAACTCCAACATGGGAACTGAAACCTTACGTGGGACGAACGCTTCGGCGATAACTTAAGTTTGATGTCACATAAAACTCCAGCAAAATTACCACATCTGAAGAAAATCATCGTAACATGGTTTCATATTATACCTAATTTCTAAGTCCTTAATTACTTTAAATTCAATTTTATATACCACAAGGAGACAAGAGAAATAAAAAAATTACATAACAAGGGAACATAAATCGTAAATTAGAAGGAAACACAGAGGCAGTATTCTTAACATGAAGTATGTTTAAGATAATCTTGTATGATTGACAGTTCAGAGAAAGATAAATCTTGTCTGTTTCATACAAAGTTTGCATTTCAACTCTCTCTCTCTCTCCCTCTCATCTCCACTGTACGCCCGCCTCCCTTGTCTCTCATATAAATATATCCTAGTAACATAATGAATAACGATAACAGGAGAATTGAATGGTTAGATACACGACAGGATTCAACCAATCCTCCTGACATCTTTCCATCATTATGTTACTTTCACTACCTTAGAAGATTTTATTACTCTATCGTCATTTTATAACTTCTAGATAATTACACACACAAGCATAAGAAAGTGAATCAGGACAAGTTAGTGACGTAAATCCAAACGAAACTCTGGAGGGCATAGAATATGACGATACACTAAGTTAAAATGCATCACAGAAATTCAGAATAAACGCACACACACACACACACAGAGATAGACGGGGAGTGGGAGTAAGTGGGAGAGCAAGACGAAGAAATCTGGTGGGTTGATGGATTAGGGTAGCGGGGGTTAGGTTGGTTAGTGAAGGGAAAGAAGCACTTAATTAATGCCAGAACACTGTAACAGTCACCTGCTGTTTTTACAATATGTTTATAGTGAAATAATTTTTAAGAAAATTTCGTCGTCTGTTATATAATGTTAAATTAAAAAAAAAAATAAGAAAACAT